GTGTAAGGCCAAGGGACTTCAAAATCAACACAATGACTGATACTTTATGCTTCTCCAGGCCCTAAAACACTTGAATCTGAAGTAGCAACTCCAGATCCGGCTTCTAACCCAAAATAATAACATTATGGCAAAAGAGCCCCAACAACCACACATAGATCTAGGTGCAAAAAGGGTCCAGGAACTAGTTTATTACCTCCAAGTGCTCAAAATGAACTCACAATCCCAGATCTATAGCTCCTTCTTGCTCCTCCAAGTTCCTTCTTCCTTTTCCAAGCTTTAAAGCACCTTCCAAGGCTCAACTAGGAGATATGACGGCTAGGGTTTGATATCCAGGGCTAAAGAGGCAGTAAGGAACCCTGGGAAGAAGATTAAGACATTTATATAGGCCCTAAGTCCCGAATTTAGGGTTTTCCACGCACAGACCAGACTCGCCGAGTCCCCCTGGTCGACTCGCCGAGTCGGTCACTTACTCCCCGACCCGGATCCCGCTCGGACTTGCCGAGTCCCCCTTAGACTCGCCGAGTCGACCCCTAAACTTAGGGTTTTCTTTCCTTTCTTGGACTTCGAAACTTTGGGTGTTACATGATCCAACACAGCGTAAAAGGACTTTCAATGGCTGTTATACTATTAGTCCCCAAGGGTCCTTTGGTACTGCTAGTAAAGTCGAGAATTCACCAAATGCGAGTCGGGCCAAGGGTCCTTCGCATTCACTATAGCCTCGACCGACTAATGGGATTATTGAGATCTTCGTGCCCTCTCTTCTCCTCGGTCGTGGGGCTACACGAAGTCAGGGCAGTTGGATTACGTGAATAGTACAGACGACGCCTAAGGGATCGTTCGTATAGTTGTAAACTGGTCGTTTGTGTAACGCGTGTTTATAACAATTCACCATGCGCAATAATCCAACGTCGCCTGGAATCAATGACTTCACATACCGCGATGGTACAACAACTATGGAATTCAAAGTGTTAGGAAAACATCGGGTTTTCCTAGGGTTATTCAATACACACATTTACGAGACATACACCAAGTTTAATAAATTCTTTTTACAATTATAGAAACAAACAAGCATACCTATGGATCTTCACAAACTTTTTCATAAACTCTTTTCAGAAAATATTGGATTTTCTGGTAGTTTCAAAACAATACAAAACATTGGCTTTCAAACACCGCTTATGAACTCACCAACATTTCATATGTTGACATTTTTTCAAAATACTTGTATTCTCAGGTAACAGGTAAACCAAGGGGAAAAATGTACTCAGTGATGGCTTGCAGTTTGTTTATCTATTATTGAACAATTTCTTTTTGGGAATGTAATGTTAAAACAATGTACTAAGTGTAAACCCTACCAGTTGTACTATCTCAATTCATGGTGACGTATGATGTTATGTTTCATATATATTCAATGTTATGGTATTCAATTGAGTCACGACAGCCCTCGGACGTTCCCGCCGTCTGGTTCGGGGGTGTGACAAACATTATCACGAAATCCTGTAGATCCCTAACCTAGTAATAACATGCTGTTCTATCAAAGACCGAAAACAAATATCATGTATGGTATTTTGGGGTTACTTACTGGCTCCGGCTGATCGTACCTCCGCGTCCTCCTTTTACTTAATTTGAAAACCATTTTAAATTTTCTTTTAAAAACTCTCCCTGATTTGAGACTGGATTCACACGAATGTTCCTCCAATTCACTCAAACCAAGGCTCTGATACCAACTTGTAACGACCAAAATTTTCAACAAATTTTAGCTTTTCAAAAACAACCCATTTTAATAATGTTATTACAAAAAGGTTTTCAATACATTTATTATCAGAGTATTCCCAGAACCATATCATAAAACATAAACACGAGGAGCGGTACGATCGCGCCTTTGCCTTGCCACGGTCTCCTGAAGAACCTAAAAAACATTAAACCTCAACTGTAAGCCTGAAAGCTTAGTGAGATACCCCCAAAATACCAACCACATATACCATACACACAACATGCTATATCACAACAAATCGCAGAACATCCATGCATATCGGGTCTACTGTGTGACTGGTCCGCCGTGTCGGGCCTTCAGTCCACCTGGTCCACCCTCCAAGTCTAGTCATGTCCCTCGAGTCTGTAGTATGGTTGGTCCGCCCGCACCGGGCCTTCAACCCACCTGGTCCACTCTCTGACTCTATAGTATGACTGGTCCGCCCGCATTGGGCCTTCAGCCGGCCTGGTCCACTCTCCGAGCCTTGGCACATCTGGTCCGCCCTCGTGGGGCCTACAGCCTATCCGAACCGCTCGTTGGGCCTTCGGAATAACCGGTCCGCCCTGGGTATGTTGGCCTACAGCACAAAGCAGGTCTCGCCTCAACCCAACCCCCGTCAAACAATCATGTGCACATAAACATACAATCATATAACAGTTCACATTCAATCAAACCGATCTAGCAGATCACATAACACAACATACTCTAAGCAGGATACCGACCTAACCGGTCACTATCATAGCAACACCCTATATACCAGGATACCGACCTTAACCAGGTCTCTAACGAATACCATCCTAACTACCAGGATGCAAACATAGTAAAACAGCAACATAACAACAATACCCGGATTACAATCCGATAAAGGGCCGACCTTGGTGCCTTAGACCCTGTTGATATAGTGAGGATAACTCACATCGCAACTGTTGACTGAAATGATAAGACCGAGATGCTCCGACCACTGACACGATCTCCACCACTGGCTAGCACCAACACTGAACTCAAAACAAAAGCCAACAATTACCAAAATACTCTTAGAAGTCAACTGGTCAACTCTTGGTCAAAGTCAAAGTCAACCTTCTGGCTGACTCTACTCGCCGAGTCAGCCCGCTGACTCGCCGAGTCCCCCCCCTCCCCAACACTGAAAAGGACCCATTTGAACTCACTGAGTCATCCCTTGACTCACCGATTCTTAGCTTTACCAGGAAAGGCTAAGACCTCAAGACCATACTCGCCGAGTCCAAGAACAGACTCACCAAGTCCAAGGCTATCTTCAACCAACTCGCCGAGTTGTTCTTCCAACTCGTCGAGTTCCTGCCCACCTTCAAGCAACTCGCCGAGTACACCCTTGTGACTCGCCGAGTACCACTAGCTCTTAACCCATACAGAAGCCTTCCAGGCCATGCAATCGATCCAAAACGTAGATCTACCCTTCTACAACCCTTCCATCACGTAAAGTGGCAAACTTTACGTGAATCCAAAGAGATCTAGGCATTTTACACTCTAGGGCTAGGGTTTGGGACAAGATGGCTTCATCAAACACTTAATAACAGGGACTTTAATGCACTCTAGACCTTCTCCATTCCAGATCTGAGGTAGCAACCTCAGATCTAACCTTCAAACTCTAAATACCACAAGCTAAACTTCCCACACATCCCAAAAATGATGAATCTAGATGAATAGCAGCCCAAAAACGAGATAATACCTCAAAAGGAAGCCCCTAACAACAAGGAAATCCGAATCTAAGTAAAGCCCCTTGCTCCAAGCCTCCTAACTCCCCAAGATCTTCCTCCAACTTTCTTCTCCAAGGCTCAATTGCACTCAAATCCTTCACAATCACGCTTCTAGGGTTTTCTGGACTTCAAGGGAAGGTAAGGAGGCTGGGGAGAGGGTATAATGTCCTTTATATAGGGCTCATCCCCCGAAATTAGGGTTTTCTTCACTCAGCGCCTACTCGCCGAGTCCAACCTTGGACTCGTCGAGTTGGCCACTTAACACGCAACTTGAGTCGCGACCCTACTCGCCGAGTCCACCCATGGACTCGCCGAGTTGCCCTTCAAATTTACACTTTAAACCCTGAACGTGCACTCCTGGACTCGGGATGTTACATTGTTTAAACGTGACTTATATGAAAGGTGTTACATATTGTTTTGGGGTTATCGAACAATTCACTACTTGTCCTAATCAAGCTACTTATTAGGTTTGGTTGATGGTCATAATAACTCCAATTCGTTATGGAGACACACATACTCTAACATCTTAAGTGTAATGTCTTTGTTCGAATCTCAAAATACCTTTTAGACATAATTCTATAAGTCCTTTACATGTGACTAAGATAATTGTATATAAGGCAAAATCCTTTTATATGTTATGTACATATATAAAAGTGGACAAAATTAAAGCATCAAAGTGTATATAAGACATAATCCTTTTTATGTGTTATGTACATATATAAAAGCAGATAAAATCAAAATATCAAAGTATATATTCCTTGTCAATTAAAGTTGATTCCAAATCGGGTATACATGGATATCATATTTTAGATGATTTAAAATTTTTACTCTAAATTAATCAGATCATGTTTAATTACATACTTTTACAATTTTATTTAAAACATAATTTTAATCTTAAGATTGTAAAAGAGTTGGAAAAACTGTTATCATGTATTTTCTAAGTATGATATTTTGTGTTCCCATTTAAGTTCGACATAAAGATAAATCAACAAGACCGACCATTTTGTTTTGTTGGTGATTCTAATGTTATCATCAATTTATTGTAACAGTAATTTGCATAAGTGAAATTGAGATTTAAATCATGACCTAATACAAGTTAAGGTGATACAGAATGTATATTTGCATATAAGATGAATATGATCCCTAACACGACGAAATGTGGGGGTCAAGGGGTCACAACCCTTTTGATGGTCCAAGTTGTAGATAGATGTAACTTACAATTGAATAAAGAAAACGTAAATAGATTTTGGATATGGACAAAGGTAACTCATGCTTGACAACCAATTTAATTCATACAACCATACTGCCTAATTGTTTCCGATAGACAATTCACACTACTTGATTTTTTATTTCAAAAAACCGTTTGTTACTGTAAACAACCAATTTGAACCATAAATATCACCAACCTCATTCATATTTCGAATGTATGAATATATATACTCATCCTTTTAGTTAATTATAAAATTTTGGCATTGATGTTTTGAACATTACAATAATTAATGTGAAAAACACGTCTAATGCACCCCTTACCAATTGTCACTTTTGCCATTGGAGGGTTGAGAGGAAAGGATCTTACTTTAATAAAGATCAATTACGTACCAAAGAATAGCATATCACTCCTGGAGGTCACTTTCGGTAAAAGCAAAATAAAGGGAAGGGCAACCTCGTAAATAAAACTCCATGAAGCATCAGATGCTGTCAAGACTCAAGACCGATCTTCTATATATACGCTCCACTCCCGAGAACGCAGTCTCTTCAAACACCAACAAGCCTCTCTAATCCCCTGTTTTTTTCTCTTGATTTTCACTGTAGATTCACAGATAATGGCCGATCAGCTCACTGATGACCAGATCTCCGAGTTCAAAGAAGCCTTCAGCCTGTTCGATAAGGATGGAGATGGTCAGCTCTCTTTCCCCCTCTTGTTTTTCTTGTTTAATTTCACTTTTTTCATGAATCAACTTGTTGTACACATACAATCGGTTCATAATTCGTTAGTTTAGATGCGATCATCTAGTGTAATGAGATCTGAGTTCTCATTTCTAATTGGTGATTTTTGATATCACTGATGTTTGACTTCTAAGGTCTTTTTTGCATAGTTGAATTCCTTTTCTAGTTTGTTGACTAGACTTTGAGTTGGGGATCATTCTCATATCTACCCAATCAAAGATCAATCTGATTTCTTACTTGCGAATAACGTCTTCTATGTTTTACATCAATTCAATTTTAGTCATAAACACATATTCGTCCTGTCAGTCCTGTCTGCAAGATGTTTGATGAAATGTCGCTGTGAAGTAACCATAGAAAGTAAACAAATGAGAACTCAGATCTATTTGATTTCCATGGGTTATATCAAGCCTTTTGCATGTTTTAGTAGTAGTAACGAACGATTGAAGATATGAATGTTGTCATGGAAGAAGCTATATACAAACGTTGTTGCAGGTTGCATCACTACGAAGGAGCTCGGAACAGTTATGAGGTCTCTTGGGCAAAACCCAACAGAGGCTGAACTCCAAGACATGATCAACGAGGTCGATGCTGATGGAAATGGGACCATTGATTTCCCTGAGTTTCTTAATCTGATGGCTAGGAAGATGAAGGACACAGACTCTGAAGAAGAACTGAAGGAAGCTTTTAGGGTTTTTGATAAGGACCAAAATGGCTTCATTTCTGCAGCTGAGCTTCGTCATGTTATGACAAATCTTGGTGAGAAATTGACAGATGAAGAAGTTGATGAGATGATTCGTGAGGCTGATGTTGATGGCGATGGTCAGATCAACTATGAGGAATTCGTCAAGATCATGATGGCCAAGTGAGGATCTCCAACTTGAAAACTAAAACCCTAAAAAAATATTTTAAATTTCTAAAATTTTAATTGTGGGTAGGATGGATTCTTTTCATATCTTTGAATGCTTGCTTCTTTGGGTATCTGTTTGGATTTATATGTATTCCTGCTTGTTTGCTCTTTAGGTTTTAAGTAGTTTTATTCTTGCTTGCTGTTTTTTTTGTTATAAACCTAGAACAAATTCTATGAGGTTCTCTTGGTTTTACTTGTTTCTGGTTCATCTTTGAATTCTTTTTTTGCATGAATGCGTAGTTGTTAAAATTGGGATAATCTTTATTCTTTAGTTTTAATTTTAATTTTCTTGTGTTCTATGTAGCTTAATCTTTGTTTAAAGATTAGAATCTTGTTCTTGAGTCATGTCCCTATTAAGTATTTTAAGTTAAGAAAATAAGATCCTTTAGAATCTTTATGATTATATATATGCTCTTATTCTTTGCCATATATACTCAACTCACCTTAATTGTTTTTTAGTTTAAGTTAATACGCTTAATGGGATTTGATTTAATATGGTAAGTTACTAAGTTATATATCAATGTTTTATTTTGTCCAAAACAATAGAGTTGATAGAGAAAGTCGAGTGGATGAGATTTTTCTTTTTAGTTAATAACTTTTTTACAAATTTGCTTTTCATACGTGTTTTTCCCTAACTTTTTTGCAATTTTCTCAAAAAAAAAAAAAAAAGCATTATTTATCCAATAACGTTTTATCCGAACATGAGTTAAATGGGAAAAGTTAGACATTTGGATTAAATAGCTAAGACTAGCACAAAGGTATTCGATATTTTATATCATACTTGCTAAGTTTATTGCGCATTAAATAGGTCAATTTGGCATTTTTTGCCCTCTTAACACACTTTTTATATCCATCAAGATCTCTCTATAGGTTGGTGAAATATAATGTAAAAGGTCATTGAGCAAATTACGCACGTCAACGAAGATATTCATAGTTTTTAATAATATCACGGCAACACAGGTCAAGTAAAAGATCGCACTAATTTCTTAATTATATTTACTATTTTGATTTTTTTTTTTGCGAAAGACACACGATGACTCTTTTTGAAACTAACCAGTTGTGAAATACCTTTTTTTTTTTTTTTTTTTTAGATCCTTGCACTGATATTTTTTGTTTGCGTACCCATCAATTTATGTTTCAGTGGATTATACAAGTTGCATGCTGGACAACTCTTTAAAATATAAGTTGTGCAGCGAAAGATTTTCGACCATACGACGAAATAGTTTCTGAATTGCAAAATTATTTTTAACAAAAAGAGAACCTTAAAAAAATTTAAAAATCTTAAAGCACTCCTATCTCTCATTCTTTCCTTCTCCCTATCCCACTCTCTTTCGTTTCAATTTGTGTTCGTTTTAAAAATTGATCTCACAAATAAATCTTAAATAGATTTAAAAAAAAAAAGAAAAACATTTTCTATTTCAAAAAGATAAGAACAATTTTGCGACTTACAAGAACTTCGAAATTTCAATTGCGAAATACTATTAACCTTTTTAAAACTTCAAAGTTTTTATGTGGATAAAAATAATTTCAAATCTTTTGGAATTTTGGCAACTTTTGAAAAAAATAATCATTTGTCTAAAAAGTAATTAAAACGTTAAACATAATTAAAAATGTGGTTATTTCGTAATTATTCCTAAAAATTAAGGCTTAAGGCTTTTCATGTGACACGAAAATTGAACACTTTTAAACTTGATCGAAAAAAACCGTACACCAATTTTTTGAAAAAAAAAAAAAGCAAAGCGATTGTCCCTTTTTATGAAATTCTTTGATGAAACATGAAAATTGCAAAACAAATTTATGAACATTGACGTATAGCCCAAGAACCTAAACTGTTTTATATGTCTATTAATTATTATTTTTTTCTTCTTATGGGATTATCGTGATTTATTTCCCAATTTTAATTGGTTGGTGGGGAGTTTATTCTTTTCATATCTCCATTTTCTTATAAAATTTTCTTTTCTTTGATTGGCATGTGAATATTTTTTGTCAACCGTGCCAAGGATCCGAAGAAAGCGACGGTGAATTCATTATCCTCTTCTCTAATGCCCTTAAAAATCAATATATGAGAAACAAAATAAAATAACTAATACAAACTTTTATTGAAGAAATAACTTGTTTTGAGTTCGAATCATCTTACTTTTAAGTTTATGTAATTGTAAAGTGTCACAATGAACCAAAATAACGTTCATTCTTGTAGAAGATGGATATGAGTATGGCTTGCTCACACGAGACTAGTTTTATGGTTGTTTAAGGGATAATAATAAAATGAAAGAGTTTTAATTAAATTATTTGATTTTACTAACTAAATAATATTATGTTTCTTAATTCAGAAAGAGAAGAAAGGAAGTAGCCATGCAATCAAGAGTCAAGTCCTCAAGGAGTGGTTGGAGAAAGGCTCGTGGAAGTTGTATTGTACTTTAAATGTGTCATTGATATCTTCTTTTCAAAATAAAATTTATCTGATCGAAAATAATGAGATCGTCCTAGGTTGCATTGGTACATCAATCGACATCTACTTTCACAAAAACCTTTAGATTCGAAAAAGTATATACCCTTTCAAGCAAAAGAAAATTAAGACTGAAAAAACATAGTCAACTTTGTATTATGTTATCATCCACAGGTATAAAAATGGTTTTATGATCTTATTCTTTTGTAAAATGATACAAATGAGTGGCATTTGTATTTTTTAAACATGGTTATGAACGTATCAAACATCTGCATGTGCATCTATCTATCATTCTTAATAAAAGAGTAATTCTCCCATTACACGTGTCAATTTTCTAAGGCATTCTCTCTATCACTAGCCATATGTCATCCTCTAAAACATTTCCTGTATTTAACAATTTAAAATTTGAACTATTTTTGAATTAATATTTGTCACACCCCCAAACCGAAAAACGGCGAAAACGTCTGGGGTGGGGGACATCATGTGTAGGTATCACAACAATTGCATCATAATAATCAAAGTAAACACAATCATTACATTATAGTATGAATATTTACATATGTTGATTTCATAGTTTATATACATCAAAAAGTAGCAAAAAGATAAAGACGAGACTCCATATGCTCCGTCTTCTCAAAAGCCGGCGATGGTACCTGTCTACTGATATCCTGAGAATACAAACGATTTTGAAAATGTATCAGCATAAAGCTGGTGAGTTCATAAGAATGTTTTGTAGTGAAGACCATTGTTATCAAGTTCTGAAAAATGTATGGATGCTTCCCAAGAAAGGACAATATTTTCTAACATGTTTGTTTGTTACTGTATGTATAGTATGACCTCTTTGAAAACCCTAGCTACCACCAATAGTGTATGTTCTGTTTGAAAAATTCTGGCTACCACCATTATGTATAGTAGTTTTATTACTTAAAATAAAACCAAGTGTTGTATCCCTAGAATACCCTCCAGTGTAATGTGTAGTAGTTTTATTAATTAAAATAAAACTATTGAGAATTGAAAATCCTGTAAACAAATGTTAGTTTATACTATTGTGAATTCGTATAATCATGCTTGATATGACTGATGACCTCCGCGACGTTTCTTCGAGTGTCATATGGTATGATATTTGTCACCCCAGGCATGTCTGCCTAACAGTAGCTAGTAGTTTAGGTGTAGGAGTGTCAGTCCCGAATAGATCTATTCACAAATCTCACGCTCTACCTCTAGGAGACTCTGGATATACTAAATGTAGAGGATTTTACCAGTACCCCGAAGGGTAAAATTTGAAGAGATGTCTCACAATCATGTATTAACTAGTTTACGTATTGTTATGTATCGTGTTCTCGTGTTTGAAATTGCGACATCCCCATTTTCACGGCCAGAAAAGACCGATTTATTTATGCTTTGTTTTATAAAATCAGAGTAATCTTTTAAAGAAAACGGTTGCGGAATTTGTTCCCAAAACAAGATATGATAATAACTTATCAAAACATTTCTCAAAGAGAATGTATTTTCATTTAATAATAAAACCTCGGGATGTCATATTCCGATACAGGCATATAAGCATAAACAGAACTTACATTCAATTACACTAATGATTTACATCTCCTTTAATCTCTTAGTGCAAAGCAACTTCGTATCGATATCTGTGATACAATTAAACTAAGTGGATCAGGCTTGGGAGCATGGTGAGCATATATGGTTTTCAACCCACAATAATATAATTATTATATTCAATCATCAAACAACCAACCCAATTACCCATCCCCGTTATCTCCATTTATTTCTTAAGTACCTTTCATAAGGAATTATCCTAAGGGTCATCTCCTACATCGTATTTACCTCTCATCTCCTTACATCACATTTCCTTGTATGTTTGTTCCTAAGGACTTTTTCCTAAGGATCATCGCATGAATACGTAGTCACAACATCGCCTGGACTAGTAAGTTATAATAAGGGTTAGACTATCATCGCATGAATACATAGCCACAACATCGCCTGGACTCGAAATTCATAGTAAGGGTTAGAGTATCATCGCATGAATACGTAGCCATAACATCGCCTCGACTCGTAATTCATCACCTACAGGTTATGAGCCTGCTGGTGTTTCCACGGGGTCATCTAGAATAGTCCGTGGTCGCCATCTATACTCTGGTAGATGACTACATCGCCAAATTTCCACATCGCCGGTCAAGGTTATGGTATCTCCTCTCATCTCACATCACCTATTTATCATTACCTAATTATCATCACCTATTTCTCATCACCTAATCATCATCACCTGTTTCTCATCACCAAATTATCATCACCATTATATCCTCACCTTTCTCTTATCACATTCGTTCAACACACATCAACTATTTCATCTACCCATGTTCTACCCAACATATTTGTAGATATAAATTTCATATATAGTTTAAATCATTTAACACCCATATAAAAACATCAATTCCAAGCCCATCTCATATAGACAATTAATATATAACACATAGCACGTATTTCATAGCTAATGCTTTATATTTATGTGTTTAGAAGAGAGTAACCGCACACTCACACATATAAACCACAATATATATACACATAACACGTATTTCGTATAAAATACTTCATAATTATGCGTTAGAAGAAAGTAACTACACACTCACTTGATCAGAAGATGATCGGACAGCACTACGGCTTGTAGAAGTAGTATTCTTCGGTAGATCTGGAAGATCTTCACAAAAACCGGACTCCTCGCGGGCAGAGCTTCGGCTTGGGAATTGCACTTCTCGGGATCTTCGGGGCCTCGGGACCTTCGGGGCCTCGGGACTTGCTTCGGGGCTCGGGAATGATACCAGGGCTTCGGGATATTTCTTGCACGAAAAACGATGCAAAAACGCGAGAAAACGGGAAGAAATGAGAAACTGAATCGGCTACACTCGACTTCCTTTTATAGGGGGCTGAAGCCCGATTTACGCGGGGCGTAAATTTCATTACGCAGGGCGTAACCACGATAAGGTCGCTGACTCCCCCCATGGATAATATCGGCCAATTTTTATTTAAATTAAATATCGAAATTATTAAATAAACTTCAAAAATTCATATCTTCCTCATACGAACTCCGTTTTCGACGTTCTTTATATTCACGTGTAGGTGAGACTACGATCTACAACTTTCATTTAGACTCCGTTGGCTAATTTTGATTTTATTTTTATTATTTATTTTTAGTAGGCTGGGACAGGAAAACTCCGTTATAAAATCATAACTTCTTCATCCGACGTCCGTTTTCGTCTATCTTTTTATCGTTTTACTATAATTAATGAGATCTTCAATTCTCATTTAGATTGTTTCGGCTAAAAACCGCTCGGTCTCAAATCGAGCATTCGGGCTGCATACTGCTAAGTCGAAATTTCGAAAAATCGTAACTTCCTCATACGAAGTCAGATTTGGGCGTTCTTTTTATGCACGCTCATGGTTTAACGTATTCTACGACTTTCATTTAGATTGATAAGACTAAATATCGCTCTAACGTAAATTCACTTTTTACGTCGCGTTGTATCGTGCCGGTTCTGTCTCGAAACTTCAACAGGTCATAACTTCTTCGTTATGACTCGGATTTTGGCGTTCTTTATATGCACGGAAACCTTGTAACATATAATATAACTTAATTAAGATTATTCCTTCAAAATAATCTTCCATCAAAAAGTCATTTTTTGACGCTTAACGTCTCTAATTGACTAGCCCGGATCTACGGGCATTACAATTATCTCCCCCTTAGGATGATTACGTCCCGGAATCATCAACGAAAGTAGAACTTGTATAATGATTCCATACACTATCTCTTCATCCTAGGTAATGAACGTAACTTCTATGTTTCCTCGGAAGAGTATTTAACTCTATGGCTTTCTTGACCGCAGAAGATGCCCAAGCTTGCATCTGCTTATCGTACGATGTTGTACTTTCAATCGTAACCTTCGAGTTACCAAATAAGTCATTATTATGGACTCCTTATTCTTCTCAGGATAAATACTTTCCTTTATATATTGTAACAAACCGATGGGTCGTGCTCTACTGACCTCTTATCGAATGATGCAATGCTTAGACTCATGTCTCTTAGAGTTAAATTCCAAAATGGAATATACCTTCCTTCATATTCTAATGTGATATAATCACATTTCAGCATGTAGCATTTCTACCTACAAACTTCTTTTAACAACGAGCGCGACCCTATCAATCGCATTAACTTCAACCTTCTGACTTAAGTCAGATGTTACATCTAACTTGGTCCTCAAGACCACGTAACACACTCCTCGTAGTCGAAGTCAAATTTAAACATGACCACTAGGGTCGGAACAAGAACCATCTTACTAGTCATTACCGAAACAATGGTAATGACATACCAGAATAAAATGGAATCAATCACTAGCTTCTTGGTAACCTTGCGACTTTCCCTGATCCAAGTGCGAGTCCTGTGCTTCCGGTAGTGTATGCATCTACTATCTTTCACACCTACTCATACTCATACCAAGTATTGTCCCGCAGTCGACCAAGTCACCATACAAGAAAATCGAAAAACAGTTTAACACATACGAATGTGTCAAAGTAATCATAAACAATTTCCCTAGACTCTACTAGGACTTCTTCATTGCTCAATCTTCAATCATCAACTCTACTTCAACTCGATTAGTGATGAAAATATCAGACGATGAGACAACTTCAAGAATTTCACCAATCGTTCCATCATCCTGCCAATCGAAGATGTACTTTAGACGTACCGTATTCCTCTAAACGTACTTTTATTTCATAAGACATACTCTAAAGGCAAGATACCACTCTTACGATATCTTATGATAGGTGTCATCCACTATCATAAGCCTTCTTCATTTCCTCCATTTACTCAATTTCCCTACGAGTCTTCACCATGATCCCTTGTACATCCAAGCAGACATTTGATGTACCAAGCGAGAATTTTAAGATAAGAAAGCTTTAATTACGATAAACGTATAAATCTCCTTATCACCCCGAAACGTTTACATGCTAGTTCTAATATCGTAGCTATACGCTTAGAATCCTAAACACATAAGGTTTTCAGATCCGGTCGGCAACAGACCATAGATCCGAACAAATAATAGCATCAATATAGCTATCACACAAAACATTTAGCACATAAAAGCTTTTTAGGCATCATTCCTAAAATAAACTAGTGCTTGTGTCAATTTAGGTGTACTACCTAACATATTTTAGACACACTCCTCACAGTCATTACTTAGCATTCTAAGTTTAAGTCTAGAAATTTCCTACAAATTCCTAGTTCGCTTAAACTAATGCTCTGATACCAACTGTGACATCCCTATTTTCATGGCCAGAAAAGACCGATTTGTTTATGCTTTGTTTTATAAAATCAGAGTAATCTTTTAAAGAAAACGGTTGCGGAATTTGTTCCCAAAACAAGATATGATAATAACTTATCAAAACATTTCTCAAAGAGAATGTATTTTCATTTAATAATAAAACCTCGGGATGTCATGTTCCGATACAAACATATAAGCATAAACAGAACTTACATTCAATTACACTAATGATTTACATCTCCTTTAATCTCTCAGTGCAAAGCAGCTTCGTATCGATACCTGTGATACAATTAAACTGAGTGGATCAGGCTTGGGAGCCTGGTGAGCATATATGGTTTTCAACCCACAAAATATATAGTTATTATATTCAATCATCAAACAACCAACCCAATTACCCATCCCCGTTATCTCCATTTATTTCTTAAGTACCTTCCATAAGGAATTATCCTAA